ACTGCCGAACTCTTCAAGGGACATCTCGTCCAGCTCAAGAAGAGCATCTACTGCAGGCGTAGCCTCGAGGCGGACGTTCGTCATCTTCCTTCCCGTCATACTGTTGACGAGGGTGTATAAATGTGCACCGTCGTCTACGGTAGACACAACCTGGATCAGGGTCGACGCCCGGCGTCTTGCAGCCAGCATATGGCGTCGTTGAACCTCTGTACAAAGGTTCTATGCCTCCGTGAGACCAGGGTGAACACGCATTCCGCGTCGTTTGGTTTCACCCTCACTGTCCGCTCCTTTGGAGCTCCGATGTTTTTTGCAACATCCGACGAAGAACTGCTAACCCCGCAGTCTTCGTCTAGTGGTTGACGTGCCACTTCACGCTCATCTGAAGGGTCGTGTCCAAATTGCCTCGCACTCTGTCCGACCATGTCACGCATGACATGCAGCAACTGCTCCGAAACCTGAGCAGCGCTCAGTGGGTTACGTTCCACTTCACGATCAGCCCGCGAGCCACGATCAAGACTACTGTCCACTACACCGTTGGTGTCTACCAAATCAGACATTTCAATGTCCAGCACGTTGACCGTCTCGGTCCAGTGCTCTCGCCAATAGCGCTTTTGTCTCCTAGCAGAGGTGGGTTCATGACTCGCCAGAGCACCATCAGAAGACGTGCGCGTAGCGTCCAAGGTCTTTGACCTCGAATCAATTCATGACTCATGGAGTTCTAACCATGCCATTCCTATGATGAGATCATACCTTGCATCCAAGTCTAAGACAAGACAGCGTTCTACGCTAGCAAAGTCAAGGAACTTGACTTCAAGGTCCACAGGGACATTTGGGACCGTGACACGCGCCCCCGTCACTAAGCAAAGTCACCCAACCGCGCTTTCAGCGCCACAGCCTACGGCTGACTTTCTTCCATCGTGGAGTGTCGAGTATAACTGCACGACGCCTCAGAATCGATGAGGATCTTCCATGGCTTCTCAAAGCCCTTTACGGTCGCCTCAACGACCAGCAAGCCCGACTTGCATACACGTTTTGTGTTTAAGAGCACGGAGCTCTTCGGGGCTGAGCCATGTTGACCTACCCTCCCTGAGGCTCAACATAAATTAGATCTTCCCCAGTAGGTCGCCCCGCGCCTACGGAGTGGCGTTAAATCCCGCGACGAACCAGACTGGTAGACGTTGGGGCGATGGTTTGACGAACCTTGGCGCGCCTTGCGCAGGGGGCAACCGTTCCGAAGAGGCGGGTGTCTCACAGACAGAACACCATCAAATGTGTGTATGCTGCCCGGGAGCTCGGAGCTCTGCTCCCTCGTCCTCAGCATACT